ACGACGGTGGCTGTTTCTCCGGCATTGAAGACTGTTCATTAAAGATCTGGTTAAGCAGTTTCTCCTTACTTTCGATCTTTTCGTGCAAAGCAGAAAAAGTCACTTTCAGATCCATTCTGAACTCCTCAAATTGCATTTTCAAGTGATTAATTATGTTACTTTGACATCCTTGATATGAATCATTGCCAGTTGCGATGATAATTCTCCCCCACCTTCCATGGCCGTAGCAGTCAACAGATTAGTTACTCAAATTTCCCACATGATTTATTAGCTAGTCTGCACTTAAGGTCTTACAAGGGGGGACTCCATGGATGTTATTTGATTTACAGATCACCTTGTAGTCAAATACAGAGTCACGTATATTAAATTATGCAGAGTTATTTAGGGTTCTTAAGTCCTGACTTTATAAATTTATGAGAAGCCAGTTTCTCTGGGAGGAAGGGTTAAGAGAGAAAAAGAGCAAGTTGGTTTAGTTTCTGAACTGTGGCATAGTAAAGAAAACTCCTTCTTATCAGCTTTCAGATAGCAGATTTGGTATTTTACTTGCTGTAGCTTAGCAGCAGATTGTTCATCTCTGTTCTGCAGTCAGGTAATAAATTTCAAAATCTCCCCATTCCGAGCAGCTAACTCACTGTCATGGTAACTTCACGAGACAGATTGCATGCAGGAAGGGAACTCTTCCAAAAAACAGACTGCCATCTGAAATTCGGTGGTTCCAAGGCCCCCACTTGCTAACAAGTCCCCCTCTCCTGTGGAACTTGCCCCCCTTCTCCGGGGGGGGTGTCTCTAACTCGGAGTAAAACCCAGGGGAATCCAGAGCCCTGGAATTTCCCCTGTTCTCGCTGCTCGTTGCTCCTCCTCCTCCCACAAGACTTTTTTTTTTAGACCATTGCATGGTGAACCTCGCAAGACTGTTTTTTCACAAGACGACGAATTTCGCTGAACGAATTAAAATCATCTTGCGAGGCACCACTGTACTGCTATTGTAGGTGCAAGAAAAGTTGAACCAAATGCTCCATATGGATGAACTCTTAGTTTCTGGCCACTTGGGTTTAGAAAGATGGTGGTTTCTAGATCTGTTTCTCTTCAGTTTACCCACTTTTGCATCTAGTCAGTATCCCAAAAATGACTATTACGAGATGAATTAAAAATGTGTGGATTTAGTTGCATCACACACACCCCAGAACATTTAAATTACTTACCTCCAAATGCTAGATTGCCTGTTGAGTGCCTGAGATTTCTGAGATTAAGTTTCTGCCTCTTTTCCCCCATTATTGTCCCCACTTCATGTGCTTCACAGTTGCATTTTGCACTTGCTGAAAATCCTTGGGAGTGCTTCAGAAAGGGTGTGTGTTTGTGTTTATATACCACTCTGTTCCTGCCATCTTTTGCTTCCATTCACGACAGGAATGTTGATCCTGGAGTTTGTTCATGCAGAGTTTTCTCTGGTTCAGGATGGGTCTGCATCATTGCTCTAGGTCAGTGGTTGTTAACCTTTTTGAAAGAAACGCCCCCTTGAGCCATTGAGGAAGTTATCATCGCCCTCCCCTCCCTGTTGCAGCAGCGCGGCCGTGGGGAGGGGGGCAATGATAACTTCCTCAGTGGCTGTGGCAGTGCGGCGGCTCCATCGCCCCGTATTGCCTCCCTTCTGTTCTTTCACCCCCACATGGCCCTTTTTCATTCCATTGCCTCCCTGAAAAACAAAATCGCCCCTTGGGGGGGCGATATCCCCCAGGTTAAGAATCATGCTCTAGGTTGTACTCCACTGCACAGTACAATGTGTTCAGACGCTTGGGAGTAATCAATAGATAAGCCAAAGTACAAAATATTTCCTGAAGGGGAAAACTTTGAAAAATACAATTGCATGGTTCAAAAACATTTTAGCTCCATTAGCGTATTTTGAGAACTATAAAAATCAAGCTTTCAAGTGGTTCTTTAAAATGCAGGTGGAGAACTGTTGACCCTTTTGGTGTTCTGAATTTCAACTCCTAAAAACTCCAGCCTGATGATTATGAAAGTTGTGAATCAATAATTCAAGGTTTCCCCAATCCGATTTGCTTGTGCTTGTATGTTTGCAGCCCATTAATACATCTAAATCCAAGAATTTGATGAATTGAATCCATATTTTACAGTCTGGGATGAATGAGTGATTTATAACTTCATGTGTGTTTGTCTGTCTGTATCCATCCATCTGTCTGTCAATCTCTCTTGTCTGTTGTGTATACATGTGTCTTGCAGTTCTACACAGGTTTTCAGCAAACGCAGTCTTAGCATATTTATCCGGTTGAATTGCCTATAAAATGGAAATCTGACCCATTATTTTTCATAAGCTGCTACGCCAACCTCCTAAGCAGTGTGGTTTTTTTCTCTCTCCTTTGATTACCACCAGGAAAGTGACATGGAAAGTGAAGCAGTTGAGGCTGTTGGCGAGGAATCTGAAACTTTCATTAAAGGCAAAGAAAGGAAGACGTATCAGAGGCGCCGGGAAGGTGGGCAGGAAGAAGATGCTTGCCCAATGCCACCCAACCAGGCAGATGGGTCTGAGGTGGTGCAGGATGTAAATGCTGGTGTTCAGATGGTCATGATGGAACAGCTTGATCCAACACTGCTACAGATGAAGACAGAGGTCATGGAGGGCACTGTGCAACAGGAAGCTGAGGCAACAGTGGATGACACGCAAATAATAACACTGCAAGTTGTAAACATGGAAGAGCAGCCTATCAACCTTGGTGAACTCCAGCTTGTCCAGGTGCCTGTTCCAGTATCTGTACCTGTTGCCACCACTTCTGTGGAAGAATTGCAAGGGGCCTATGAAAATGAGGTCTCGAAGGGGGGTCTTCAGGAGGGGGAGCCCATGATCTGCCATACACTCCCGTTGCCAGAAGGTTTCCAAGTGGTAAAAGTTGGGGCAAATGGCGAAGTGGAGACATTAGAGCAAAGTGAACTTCAACCCCAGGAAGATCCTAATTGGCAGAAAGACCCAGACTATCAACCCCCAGCCAAAAAGACAAAGAAAACCAAAAAAAGTAAACTCCGTTACACAGAGGAAGGGAAAGATGTGGATGTTTCTGTATATGATTTTGAGGAGGAGCAGCAGGAGGGATTACTCTCAGAGGTCAATGCAGAGAAGGTGGTGGGCAACATGAAGCCTCCTAAGCCAACAAAAATTAAAAAGAAAGGTATGTGGGGTTGTAAATTTGGGGAGTGAGGGCAGCTAGAAGTAAATTATTTCTCAACTCCTGCAATATGTTGCCTAACCTTGCTCAAGGACACAAGACACAAATGTGAGCCATTGCAATCAGGAAGGATTTTCTTTTCTCCTTCCTCTTTTGAAGGAGCAGGTATTGCAATGTAGGAAGATTCAGATACCAGGATGATGGGTGATTTTTGTGGTGTGAAGTCAGCGTGCTGGATTTGGGACCAAGAAGCTCTTTTTCTTCAGACCAGTTCACTGTCCAAAGTGGGGAAATTGCCTGTTATAGTACTGTGTGACTTAGTGACTCCACTTGACTTGCTGTCATTCTATGCCTTCACTGTGTCACTCTGAACACACCCAATTGCATCTGATACTAGGTACTAGCCTGGTAAGACTAGGAAAGAATCCTGCTTTTAGATCTGGAGGATCACTGCCGGTCGGAGTTGACAAAACTAGATTACATGGGCAAGCCATCCGACTTATTTTAAGGGAGGTTAATGTTGAATCTTGTCCCCTTAGTCTCCAAACTATGGCCTCTGGGCCACACCCAGCCCACCTTGCCTTTTTATCTAGCCTGGGCATAGGAAGAGAAGGGAAGGGGGACCCAAGCAATCCCCCACCTTGCTAGGGTCTCCCTTCCCTCTCTGCCTATGCCCAGGTGGAGATAGGAAGAGGAGTGAAGCCTGGCAGAAGTGATCCTCCACCCTCGCTGTCTTTGCAAAGACAGCAGGGGTGAGGGATCACTTGGGTACCCCTTCCCTCCATCAGCCCTCGACAATGTATAAAATATGTGATATGGCCCTTATACTGATAAGTTAGGAGACCCCTGCCTTAGATGATGTGTATTGTAAATGAGATGATGGGAGAATCCTGACTCGATACTGGGGTTTTGGATTGGAGTGTTACAGAAATGTTCCTGGCTATGTATATATGACTGGCTCAAAAGGCTGCTATTTTATATCTGCTAAAAGAGATTTGCTTTCTGGACAGGTGTAAAGAAAACATTCCAGTGTGAACTGTGCAGTTATACTTGTCCACGTCGTTCAAACTTGGATCGTCACATGAAAAGCCACACAGATGAGAGGCCACACAAGTGCCACCTTTGTGGCAGAGCTTTTCGTACAGTCACACTGCTGAGAAATCACCTCAACACTCACACAGGTACTATATGGAGTGGGGAAAGAACTAAAAGATTCAGTTTCTTTTTTAGAGGGTTCTTTGAAAACTGCACATGTTCCAATCAGTGCTTGCAGTTGTAAACACTTCCTTCCACATTATGAAACAGGTCTCTTCTTGGTTTTAAAACTGACATAGAATTATTCGATTCTGTATTGCCACTAATAGTCATTTTCAAAGTTGTGATCACTCTGCAAGGTGCAGAATATTATGTTATGTACTGTCAGGTTGAAACTGAGTTACAGCTATCCTGAAAGGGCTTTCAAAATAAGTTCAGTGAGCCCTCAACTTATGAACTTAATCCGTTCTGGAAGGACGTTCGTACCTCGGAAAGTTCGTAAGTCAAAGTACCATTTCCCATTGAAATGCATGGGAATGGAATTGATCCGTTCCAGCATTTATAAAAAATAAAAAGAGCAAGTCCCATGTTGGGACTGCAAAACACACACACACACACACAAACCCACAGAAACATAACCTCCCAGTCCAAACCCACCCTCCAAAACCCACACAGAAAAGTTTTTTTCAAAAAAGGACTTACCAGTCCGAAGCCTGCCGGTGCTCCACTGCCTCCGCGCAGCCGGGTGTGAGCAGCCAAGCGCCCGGCCAGCTCTAGCCTCCTGGCGCTGGGTTAGCTTCGGTGGCTCCGAAGCCAAAAAGGCAGGGAGAAAGGGTGAGAAATTTGAATTTCCTGCCCTTCCTCCCTTACTCCCTGCCTTTGGAGCTTTCAAAGGGCTTCCTCCGATGTTGGGGAAAGCCCTTTGAAACCTCCAAAGGCACCGATTGCAGTGGCGGGGACCCCCAGCTCCCTCCTTTCACCTGATGCTGAAGGGGACTCAGCATTGGGTGAAAGGAGGGAGCTGATTTCTCCCCGGCAGCCTGGCTTGCTTTTCCAAACGAGAAGCAAGCTCGGTGGCCAGGGAGTAATCGGATCCATCCTTTCACCCAATGCTGAGTCCCCTTCGTGGTGACTGAGCTCAGCCCAGCGCGAAGAGGACTCAGCGTCGGGTGAAAGGAGGGAGCCGATTTCTCCCCAGCTGCCTGGCTTGCTTCTGAAGTGAAAAAGGCAGGGAGAAAGCACGGGAAGTTCGAACTTCCCGCCCTTTCTCCCTGCCTTTTTGGCTTTGGAGGTTTCAGAAGGCTTCCTCCGATGTTGGAGGAAGCCTTTTGAAAGCTCCAAAGGCAGGACGGAAGGGCAGGAAATTTGAATTTCCCGCCCTTTCTCCCTGCCTTTTTGGTTCGTATCCCGATCCGCATTCGCAAGTAGGGTGTACTACTTGCGATGAGATCGGGTTCGTAACCCAAAATGTTCGTAACTAGGGCCATTCGTAAGTGGAGGGCCCACTGTATGGTATTTAAAGAGTGCCTTTACTAGTTCCAGTTCCTCGGTCAGTTTCCATGGACAAGTGGGGAACTGAACTTTTCTTCAGAGGCCTAGTCCGTCACTATCTGCTATACCATACTGGATACACGCATAATGTCTGGTAAAATATAATAGAAAGAAAAATGCACACATTCTTTTTTCTGAAGCAGTCACATCCCTTCCTAACTAACAAGAGTTTATTTACATCTGTATGATAAAGATTATAGAAGATGTTCTCACATGTTAGTATCATATTTAGCTTTTTCAAGCATTATTGCTCTTAGATGTGTGCCATCTTTTTTATGGTTTATTTATTTATTTATTTTGAAATAGCTATTTTTAACATACTTTTTGTTACCCATTTATTAACATTCTTGCAAAGTGAAGATGCAAACAGCAAACATTCACTGACAAAATCACATTGCCTTTTTTACATTTTCACTGTCTCTGGGAATTCTCAGGTACTCGTCCTCATAAATGCCCTGACTGTGACATGGCCTTTGTGACAAGTGGTGAGTTGGTTCGGCATCGCCGCTATAAACACACCCATGAGAAGCCATTCAAGTGTTCCATGTGTGACTACGCTAGTGTGGAGGTATGTTTCCACTTCAGCATTCCTCTTTACCATACCAGATTGTTCTTTGCTTTATTGATTGATTGATTAATTGATTGGATTTTTATCCTGCCCTTCTAGACAGACATCTACTCAGGGTGGCTCACAGTATATTGTGCATAAACAAGTTAAAAACAACAATTAAAATCTACAAGAATACTATAATCAAGATGGGAATGAACAGCAAAATCAAGAAAAGTAAAAGTCAAGTAATGGCAGGAGGGAAGCCTTTGCTTAAAGAGCCAAGTTTTTAATTGGCTCTTGAAAACACCCAGCGAGGGTGCCAGGCGAATCTCTGGCGGCAAGCTGTTCCAGAGTCGAGGGGCCATTGCCAAGAAGGCCCGGTTTCTTGTTCTTTCTTTCCGGGCCTCTCTTGGTGTCAGGCCCCTCAGCCGTCTTTCCTCGCTATGGCAAGTGACTCGAGTAGATCTAGGTGGGAGCAGGCGTTCTGTCAAGTATCGAGGTACTAAACCATTTAGGGCTTTGTATGTCATCATTAACACTTTGAAATCAATGCGGAAACGAATGGGCAGCCAGTGCAAAGCAGCCAGAATGGGAGAGATATGTTGGAATTTTCTCATTCTGCTAAGTAATCTTGCTGCCACATTCTGCACCATTTGAAGCTTCCGCATCAGTCTCAAACATAGCCCCACATAGAGCGCATTACAATGGTCTAATCTCGAGATTACAAGTGCATGGACCAGAGTGGTGAGGGCCCCACCATCAAGATAGGGACGCAGTTGGGCAGTCCCACCATAGGTGGTAATTGGCGGAGCGGACCACTGACGCCACCTGGCTTTCCATGGTGAGCGCCGGCTCCAGATGTACTCCTAAGCTGTGAACCTCACTCTTCGCAGTGAGAGTCCCCCCCCCCAAAAAAGAGAGGGAGTGTCCCAAGCCGCCAGGGGAGGGGCCGCCCACCCTCAGAACCTCCATCTTGTCCAGGTTCAGCCTCAACCCATTCTTCTGCATCCATTACGGTATGGCCTCCAGGCAACACCGAAGGGACAGAACGGCATCCACTGAAGTAGGTGAAAAGGAGATGTAGATCTGCGTGTCATCAGCATACTGATGGCATGAAGCTCCACACCCCCTGATGACCCCACCTAACGGCCTCATATAAATGTTAAACAGCATTGGGGAGATGATCGAGCCCTGCAGAACCCCACAATTGAGACTCCAGGGGGCCGAGACACTCTGCCCAAGCTGAACTCTCTGAGGACGGTCCTCCAAGTAGGATCAGAGCCAGGCAAGCGCTAGGCCACCCATTCCCAACTCGGAAAGCTTCCCCAGGAGGATACTGTGGTCGACGATATCGAAGGCGGCTGAAATATCGAGGAGGACCAACAAGGACATTTTGCCCCCATCGGCCTCCCTCAACAGGTCATCCAGCAGTGCAACCAGTGCTGTTTCTGTGCCGTGTCACAGCCTGAAGCCCGGCTGGAATGGATCCAGGGCATTGGTTTCATCCAAAATAGCCTGAAGCTGATCAGCCACCACCCTCTCGACCACTTTACTAAGGAAAGAAACATTGGCGACGGGCCTAAAATTGCCAATATCGTCCGCCGCCAAGTTTGGTTCAGTGACCCAAGAGAGTTTTAATGGTGCATGATCAGAGGTTATCACTGGGGCAAATTGTATTTTATCCATATTTGAGGCCAAAGTCTCTGAATTCAGAAAATGATCAATTCTTAAGGTAAAGGTAAAGGTTCCCCTTGACAACTTTTGTCCAGTCGTGTTCGACTCTAGGGGGCGGTGCTCATCCCCGTTTCCAAGCCATAGAGCCAGCGTTTGTCCGAAGACAATCTTCTGTGGTCACATGGCCAGTGCGACTTAGACACGGAACGCTGTTACCTTCCCACCGAGGTGGTCCCTATTTATCTACTTGCATTTGCATGCTTTCGAACCACTAGGTTGGCGGGAGCTGGGACAAGCGACGGGCGCTCACTCCGTTGCGTGGATTCCATCTTACGACTGCTTGGTCTTCTGACCCTGCAGCACAAGCTTCTGCGGTTTAGCCTGCAGCAGCACCACGTCCCTTTTCAATTCTTAAATAGGTAGAATATCTTCTAGAAAAATATGTGTATTCTCTCACTCTAGGATTTAAGTATCTCCACCCATCAATTAAACCTGAACTCTCTATTAGCTTCCTAATTTTATTATCATCAATATATTCGCGAAGGCTTTCACGGCCAGGATCTAATGGTTGTTCTGGGTCTTTCGGGCTCTTGGCCGTGTTCTGAAGGACAGGTTGCTGTTCTCTGAAGATACCGGCCACAGAGACTGGCAAAACGTCAGGAAGAACAACCTTCAGAACACGGCCAAAGAGCCCGAAAAACCCAGAACAACCACTTTATTACCATCATTTGACACCTTTCTATTTTTTGATGTTGTATCAATTTTGTTTAAAATACAATTTGGGTCTCCTCCTAGGATAATTTCTCCCCATGCAAATTCCTTTACCTTTCTTAAAAGGTTCTGCATGAATTTTGCTTGACCTGTATTGGGGGCATAAGATATAGAAATTATTAGAAAAATAAAGAGATTAAAAATTTTAGTGAAGGAAATGATACTGCAGACATAAAATCAGCATCGCTATGTGATACTGTAAAACTCTTCCGAAGAGGAATTTCGCCTGCTCTGGCCCCCATGGGGGGCAGGGTGATCCTCCAAAGGGTCCTGGAGCACACCCTAGGACCCTTTGGAGGCTCACCCAGCCACCCTGCGAGGCCAGAGGGGGCGATATCACCACCTTCCGGGACTCTTTTGAGACTTGGGAAGCTTCAGAAGAGTCCCTGAAGGTGGTGATTTCACCCCCCTCTGGCCCCCAGGGGGCTGGGTGAGCCTCCAAAGGGTCCTAGGGTGTCTTCCATAAGACGGACCTCTCCATAAGACTCACCAAATTTTTAGGAGAAGAAAACTGGAAAAATAATTGGGCATTTCGGCCTGCTGGGCCAGCAGGGGTGAGGGTGGGGGAAGCCTCCAAAGGGTCCGAGAGTGTCTTCCAGGACCCTTCCAATCTTAATTCCAGGACCCTGGAAGGCACTCTCGGACCCTTTGCAGGCTTCCCCCACCCTCCCCCCTGCCGGCCCCGCAGCTGGAATCTAACAAATTTATGTTATTTAAATTAGGGGTCCCCAACTCCTGGTCTGCTGGCCAGTGCCAGTCCATGGCCATGGCAAGATTGGGCCGTGGAGACAGATCTCCTGCCCCCCACATGCACTCCACCCACACACGGCCCACCACCCGCAGGCACGGGTTCCTCTTCCACCTGCCCATCCGCAAGTGTGCCCTGACTCTTTGCGCGAGCGTGCCTCTCCCCTCTGAGTGCACCCCACCCGCGAGCATGGGGGGTGCCCCGCCCCCCAACCAGTCTGCGACTCAGAAAAGGTTGGGGACCACTGATTTACAGGAACAAAATAAGGTGATCCCTTGTCTCCAATTTTATTTGCACTAATAATACAACCCCTAGGAGCAAACATAAGAGAAAGTGGAAACTTTAGGAGACTAATGGTGAAAAACAGACAACACAAAATAAATTTATATGCAGATGATAAGCTCCTTTTTTTGGAGAACCCATCATGAAGAATAGAGTATTTGAAAGAAATATTACATAAATATAGTCAGTAAACAGGGTTAAAAGTTAATTTTCAAAAATCTAAGTTATTATACCTAAATATACCTGTTACAGAACAAAACGAAATTTAAAAAGCATCTCACTTAAGTTATGCTACTCAAGTTTTAAATATTTAGGAATATGGGTAACAAAAAACCTTAATTAATTTATAGAAACTATAAAATCTATTTAAATTGGCAAAATAAAAAATGATAAAGTTGGTGAATCTGAACCTATCTATGTTGGGGAGAATTGTTCTAATTAAATCATATATTATAAAATTTTCAATTTCTGTTCCAAAATATTCCACTACAGCCAGATATTTTAAAAAGTAGAACTATGGCAAGGAAAAAAAATTATTGTAGGAAAGGGAAAGAAGAAAAGGTTTATAAATAGTGTTAAATATAGGTAGCATCCAACAGGGGGATTAGGGATACCACAGCTTCAAAAATATTATGAAGCTCTACAAATAAACCCAATTATTAAATTTATACAAATAGATGAGACTCATAAGAATCCGGATTGGATGGAAATGGAAGGTGAAAGGAAAATGGACATAATAAATCAGTATATTTATACCACCAAAATAATTAGAAAGGGAAAACAAATACAGAACCTGTTTATTTATGAAACATTGATATGATGAAAACACAGTAAAACTTTGGCCCCGCCAATATCCCCTTTATGCCCCCTGTTGGATCATCCAGACTTTAAATCTCAAGAGAAATATGTACAATTTAAGGAGGAAAAACAAATTGGAATATATAAAATTATTGACTTGTTTGTCTCAGGGGAACCAATCACTATTAGACAAATAGAAGATAAAACAAAGCAAATAAAAACTAGTTGGTTACAAATAATTTTTGCAATTTACTTACAAAAAAACCCTGGCTCTCTAAGATCATTAACCAAATGTGAACAATATTGTGTCCAAAAAGATAAAAAATAAAAAGAGAGGCCTAACCTCACTAATATATAAAAGCATTGGGAATGGGAATGGTGTAAATGTGACTTTGTGAAATGTGGGAATAGCAGGTGGTCAACAGTTAAATTACATAAGTAAGATGATAAATTATTATGTTAAGCCTTGTATGTACTACTTGTAACATGATGGATTGTCATGATTTATATAAAAAATTAAAAAAAACAAGCTTCATTAGTCTTTGAAGCTTTTTAAAAAGGCTGCGCGTTTTACAAAGCATGTTTTATATTATTTCTTTGTGGAGCTTATATTCTGGATTAATCTGTTTAATGCTACGAATAGCACGTTCTCCTCTTGTGTATTGACAGAAATATATATTATGTAGCAATGCAGATGGCAGTGTGTGCTCCCACAGATCCTTGGCAGTAAATGGCCTTCCAAGTATCTCAAATTTTTAAAATCTGTTTGACTGTAAAATGCTTTGTGTTATCAAGGGAATATGAGAAGCAATGTTGTCATGTTTTGGGCCTCCAAGGACCTTCTCTATTCTCCAAAAATCTTATATTTTTTTTAAAAAAATGGATTTGACCACTAGAGGGTGTGAGAGGGCTTTTTCATGTTTTTAAAAGGGGGTCGTTTTAAAAGAAAAATGTCTGGGTAGATAGATGGGAATGGATATGGCCACTCAAGGTCTAATGATACATTTTTGGCCCTCAAATCTTTCTGTAGGTTGCCCATCCCCAGTGTAAGAGAACTTGATTGACTGCATTCCCAGTTTTCAAAGAAGTAGTCAATTTTAGTCTGTGCAAGCATATTGAGACAAAAATAAAAATACAGCGGCACTTTGAAGACTGTCAATATGAGCTTTTGTCAGCGCCTTCACTTTTGTCTCAAGTGTTTCAAATTAGTCTTTAATGTGCCACAACATTTTGTTTTTCATTTGTTTTTGTTTGCTCTGTTCAACGTAGTCTATTTCCCATTTGAACCTGTCCATTTGCTGTTGAAAAGGAGAATTCATTTTTAGTGGTTGGTATTCAGTGTATGACATTTACAGTTTTGGGCCCTGAATATTTATCTTCTCTCTATGTAGCTGTCATGCTACTCAGCTATTGCTTTTGTCCAAAGTCATTGCTTTCAAAGACAACTCTTCTGTAACCTCTAATATGAAATGCAATATCATGGTGAATTTCCAACAACATTTTTGTGGATTTGACACAGGAGGACTGCTGTTCAAAATAACAAATGCCAGACATGTATACACTTCCTTGGATACCAGAAAGCATTTTAACCCTTGATCCTCCTGCCTTCTTGTTCTCCTGTCTAGCAATTAAGAACATGTATGAAAAGAATATGGGAAGACAGTGACTAGAAGCTGAAAGTTGTCTCTGTCCTTGAGTTGTTAACTCTGTCTTGCCATTCTTGGTTTCAGGTCAGCAAATTGAAACGCCACATTCGCTCTCACACTGGGGAGCGTCCATTCCAGTGCAGCTTGTGCAGCTATGCAAGCAGAGACACTTACAAACTGAAGAGGCACATGAGGACCCATTCTGGTATGCTGTCTGCAGTGGCCAATTTGAACTGGAAGTTGTTTGTGCATTGTTCCTTTGGCATGTAAATCCTATCCACAGTTGCCATGGAAAGCTGCAAGAGGGGCTACTTTGACAGTTCTGAGATTTTGCTTAAAGGAAGCCATGGCAATAATTCCTGCTGGGATCCTACAGGAAGTAGGATGGTTTACAGTCACTAGGGTAGCCCTCTGTTTCAGCAGGTCCTGCTTCTTCACAAGCTGTTGCAATGTATTTAGTAAAACTTCTTGTTGAACACAAAAAAAGCTAAGCAGATTCAACAAGTGTAAGCTATAAGAATTCTTATAATTGAGAGGCAGGAAAAGAGATTAGCTTAACATTCAGTCAAATAAAATCCCAGTTATTAACTGTTTAACAAGTGTTTAAGGACCTTTTTCCCTTCCTCAAACTCTTTTTGTCCCATCCATTGGCTTTGACTAGTTTGAAGGGGATGTCTTTCCCAACTTAACCCTTACCATCAACTTGAGCAATTTTCTACCAGCAACTGAGTCTCCTGGATTTACTGAATCTTGTTCTTCTTCTGAAAGGTGAGAAGCCCTATGAGTGTTACATTTGCCATGCACGATTTACACAGAGTGGGACTATGAAGATGCACATTCTGCAGAAGCACACGGAGAATGTGGCTAAGTTTCACTGTCCACACTGTGATACAGTTATTGCACGGAAGAGTGACTTAGGTGAGTAGGTTGAGGTTGAAGTTCCAGACTTTTGTATGAAAGAAGTGGCAAACGTATTTCAGAGGGAAAACGTACAGCCTCACCTAAAACACAGCCTCAGAAACAATGCCAACATAGTGATCAAAGAGGCTGACAAGGCTGGTGTGGTGGTTGGCATGGACAAATCAAGCTACACACAGGAGGCTGAGAGACAATTGTCCAACTCTAAATTTTACCAGCCTCTAACCACAAACCCAACCACCAAATATAAAAAGTAATTTAAAAGTTAGTGAATGGAACAAATAATGTTCTAAACAATGAAATGAAATAATGTAGTACTGTCTTGCTGCAAAGCTAAGAGATCTGTCCATTCAAACTACTTGAATGGAAGACTTTTCAGGAGCCACATTCATAAAGTGACGTTTTAAGGCAGACCTGGGCAAAATGCAGCCCTCCAGATGTTGCTGAACTGCAACTCCCAGCAATCCTCACTATTGGCTATGTGGGCTAGGATTGCTGGGAGTTGCAGTTCGTCAACATCTGGAGGGCCGCATTTTGCCAGGTCTGTTTTAAGGGCATTTAATCTAATTGTCTTTGAGTCAGAACATATTTCCAGTTAACCATGGGGGCAACGGACTTGCTTGTGGAAGTCGAAGTTTAAAATATGAGAACTCTTGCTGAGTTCTGTACTAATTACAGAACTGCAGATCCATGTACGTAATAGCACTATGCTTTTAATTGCACCCTGAGGCTTAGAATCAAGTAGTACTGGTAGTTCCTAAATGGGGAAACAAGAAGACTTGCTATTGAGAACTGAAATGTTAATTTTACCATATCAGAACAAGAATATTCAGTTCACGTTGTTAATATCCAAGGAATTGGTTTAAGTACCTCAACATATTCCACTGCTTATGTAACAAAACATTATTTACTTCTTGTATTAGGTGTCCATTTGCGAAAACAGCATTCCTACATTGAACAGGGCAAGAAATGTCGTTACTGTGATGCTGTATTCCATGAGCGATACGCACTAATCCAGCATCAGAAATCTCACAAGAATGAGAAGCGCTTCAAATGCGATCAGTGTGACTATGCGTGTCGACAGGTGAGGATATGAAGTGAAGTCCGTTGATCATCAAATAGTACACTGGGAGGATTACTGATGTTTCCTTCTTTGGTTCCTTCTAGGAACGGCATATGATCATGCACAAGCGAACCCACACTGGAGAAAAGCCTTATGCCTGTAGCCATTGTGATAAAACCTTCCGCCAGAAGCAGCTACTTGACATGCACTTCAAGCGCTACCATGACCCAACCTTTGTCCCAGCTGCCTTTGTCTGCTCCAAGTGTGGCAAAACATTCACACGTCGTGTAAGTTGGGATGGGGGACAGATTTAAAACCTTTGAGTTAGTTAGACTTTGTTTTTTAATTTTATTTTTCCTACAATGCTGAGACCAATGGTCTGGAGCCAGGTATTAACCAGTGACTTGTGCACACAAACATCAACTAAGAAGTAAGGAATAAGGTGAGCACCACGTTCAGGAGTTTATTACTTCCATTAAAAACAAGTTCATTAGTCCTTTCACCAAAAAAAAAAAAAAACAGGAAATCCTGCCAGTTCCTCAGCAACCTGATCTGAGGGGGAGCCTTTTATTGCTATTGTTAGACAATTGGGAGACCAAAATCTGTGCTGATTTATTGCCAACTACTGGGATGTCTACCAGTAAGTCCTAGTTCTTCTTTGTGGTCTCTGGATGCACAGAAATGGGTTTCTTCTTCTGGACTTACATAGAGGTTCCAGAGCTTTAGCATGTATTTGCTAGGGCCACCCCCTCAGTATGCATGGTGTTCCTGTCATGGAGAGATACTCAGTTCCTTTTAATGCCACTGAAGTTTGTCCTCAATGACTAGAGCTCAATTCACTGGGTTTTCAACATTTTTCTTCTCAACCCTTCGGCTTTCTTCTGACCCTACCCCCTTTGTCTCTGTGGTGAGGTTAGAAAAAAGAAAAATGTTTTTCTTGTTTTCTTCCCCTTCCAACCAATCACCTTCTTGCTGCCATTGCTAGGTAGAACTGGTGAAGGTTCCATCACATTCCTCCCTACATTGCTCAATTGAGAATACCTGCACGGTTCTCCACAACAAGCGAAGAACATGAATCATCATACACATATATAATTCACAGTTATTACATATTACACACATTTTTAATTCTTATCCATCTATAATCATACTTATCCAAAATACACTCACATCATATTACATTATACAAACATTACATTTAGTTAATCATACTACAGTACTTACGTTGCTATAATTAACATTACTCAGCATACTTTTTCAATCCGCTTTTCTATTTTTTCACATTTTTCCTTTAATAAAATCACTTTATATCATTATAGCAAATTCAGGTGCATATTTAAATTCCAAATTATTTGAGAATCACTTACTGTATTTTTCATGTATAAGACTCCCCCATGTATAAGACGCCCAACAAACCCACTTTTCTAACCCCAAATTAAGAAATCTTAACTTAGCTTTGAGTATTCAGCCTATGGGCTCAGAACACTGTTCTGAGTCCCTGTTGAATCTGAACTCTGCCTACAGGCTCCACCTCCAAGAATGGCTTTGATCTCTGCTTTCCCACAGCTGCACGATCACTTTGATCCCTTTCCCCCTCCACTCACCAGGCCCTGTGGGGCTTAACAAGTGGAGGGGGAAAGGGATCAAAGCAATCCCGTGGCTGCCCAATCACTTTGATCCCTGCTTTCCCCCTTCTTGCTAAGCCCCATGGGGCTTAGCAAGTGGAGGGGGAAGGGCATCAAAGAGCTGCAGGGTCCTGACTGTAGTAAGCTAAGCACACAACTTGGTCCTGACTCTGAATCCTCTTTCCATATTCTTCCACTAACTCTGTATTCACTGTAATCAACAGTGTTTCACTTCTCTCAGCCTGGCCTCACTCCCATTTGACCGTCTTGTTTCTGTAGCGACCTGCCTGGTAGTCTTTCAGTTTGGTGAGTGGTTTAGCTTGAACTCCCAGGTTTTGAAACATTGTCTTCAGAGTGCCCTTTTTTCTATTATCTTTTTCTGCCCAATTGACCTGGAAATGTCCTTCCTTACTATATCAGAAACAGATTTTATTTCCTATTTTTCCCTTTGTAAACTATTTCTCCTTCATTCTGCTTAGGAGATTTTCCGCTCTGCTGTGCCTCAGGAAATACATTGAAGCTGTTCTGATACTTATTTCCAGGCTAAGTTTTAACAGTGACTCCTCACTTTATCCAAAGCTTTTACCTCAGGAGGTCACTGAACCAGTTGCTTTTATTCTCACTCAGCTTTTTAGGAATTCTCCTACCGATTTACCTCAGACTTTTACCTCAGAGAATTGCTCTGATGGACTGAGTTTTCACAGTGTCTACTTTACTCAAAGGTTCCACCTTAGGAGATCACTGCTTCACTAATTTGGTCGCCCCAGCTTTTCAACAATTCTCACATCGAATAGAAAATGGACCTGTTTCTGCTCAAGATTTGCACACACTCCATGGGGGATGCCAGGGCATTCTATACCTTTCTACCTCATCCCACTCCTTCAAAAGACCATGGTGGCCCTGATAACTGTGGTTCATGACTCTGAGGTCAATGACCTGCGGGTTCCTCTGGCTTGCAATACTATCACACCACCTAACACAGGACAGTGGCAGAGTCTCTCATGCCAGCACCTCACTACATGGAGAACTTGCCATCCATAGCTTTTGTCCTCTCCAAAGCAAGAAAGCCCTCAACATCACAACTGTACATGTACAAGGTGAAGGCATTTACCTAATTCACTCAGGCACACAATTTGCTTTTTACATCTACAACCTTAGATGCTTTACTAGCCTTCCTCCTATATCTCGTCAAACAAGGTTTATCCCATTCTACTCTCAAGGTTTATGTTGCTCCTGTAGTCATCCATCAACCCGCCAACTCAGAAGTGGTATCCTTCTTTTGCCATTCTACTCTGAAAAGATTTGTTAAAGGTATCCAGAACCTACACCCTTCACCCAGACCTCCTCCCCCCAAATGACCCTTGCAACTTCTTTTACACCATCTGACCCAACCCCCCCCTTTGAGCCCTTGGCAACAGCCAGCCTGAAGTTACTCTTACTTAAAACCATGTTGAGTTAGCCACTCATTGTGTGAATCCAACTTATTTTCGGTTCCACCCAGGTAAAGTGACCTTGTATCCTGATCCCACCTTCGTCCAGAAAATAGTCTTGATTTCCTCCTAAATCAGCCTATAATTCTTCCTGTCTTCTTTCTGTCACTCTCTATGCCTCTAGAACGCTTGTTACATTTGTTGGATACTCTTGCTTTCTATGTCTCCTGCACATCCTCCTCAACTTTTCATCAATTTCTCCATCATGGCTCAGCCAATTTCCTCCCAGTCAATCTCCAGATGGAAAGTCCATCTCATTGGCCTATGAACTTGCCCACAAACCACTGTTGGGTCCTGTTAAGGGGCACTTGACCAGAGCTGTCACCTTATCTCTGCTGGATGTCTGCAAGACAGCCATGTGGTCAAGAGATGCCACCTTTGGTAGAGCAGTCCTTTCTTTGCTCCTATCATGACAGCTCACCTTCCAGCAAGTCAGCTTGCTAGTCACCCATTTGTGTGCATTCACAGAGACCACAGAGAAGAAAGAGAGATTACCTACTTGAAACTCTGGTTCTTCAAATGGTCCTCTGTGAATTCACACATCCCACCCGTCCTCCCCTCTGTCCGTCATGTTGGTCTTCTTATTGTATTGACAGCAGCGGACTGTTCATCAAGAACTAAGGATCTCTCCACTGCAGGCAGAGCATGCATACTGAGGGGGCGGTCCTAGTGAACACGTGTTAAAACTCTGGAATCTTCCAAGAACCTTTGCGCAAGCGCAGAAGAAACCCATTTGTGTGAATTCACAGAGAACCACTTGAAGAACCAGAGTTACAGGTGGGTAACATTTCTTTTTCCTTTTCCACAACTGCACAGTTGTATTGGGGACAAAGTTATTGCATGGAACAATGAGACACAAGTGTGTTAGAAAAGTTGTTGGATACTGATCTTTAGGCTTTCCTTTGTACTGTCAAGGTCAAATGTTTGACATTAAAGAAAGTCCTTAGAGCATTGAACCTTGATAGTTTGAATCTGTGGTGTCCCATCACAGCTGACATTTATCCCTAAAAAAATTAATTCCAGTGAGAAATCAGATAATTGTTACCAATCATGCCAAAGTTCATCTGTGTATCAAAGTATAAATCATTTAATTAGTTAAATAATTCCACACATCATTAGCCTACCTATTTCTTACCCTTTGTTCATCTCTATAGTCATGTAAAAAAGAAAGTACAGTCTCTTTGAATTCTGTGGTTATTACGTTAATCAGGACATAATAAAAATCATCGGGTCCTTAACAGGTATGAAAATTAGATAAATACAACCTCAGATGAATAACAACATTTTACACTGCGTCATGATTTATTTAACAAAAATAAAGCCAATATGGAGATACTATGTGTGAAAATCAAAGTACACCCTTACTGCTTCCATAGAAATTGAAAGGCCTAGTGCTGCTAATGAAATGCCTGTAAGTAATTTATCATCAGCAAGTGAGCCCACCTCTATAAAAACCAAAGTTTTAGCAGTCTGGTAATCTGGAGCATTCAAGTGTGTGTTTACATAATGCCAAGGAGGAAACACATCAGCAATGGTCTTAGAGAAGCAACTGTTGCTGCCCATCAATGTGGAAGGGGTTATAAGGCCGTTTCCAAACAATTTAAAATTCATTATTCTACAGTGAGGAAGATTAGTCAGAAGTGGAAAATATTCAAGACAGTTGCCAATCTTCCCAGGAGTGGACATCCAGGCAAATTCACCCCAAGATCAGACTGCAATGCTCAGAGAAATTGCAAAAAATCCAAGAGTTGCATCTCAGTCTCTGCAGGCCTCAGATAGCATTTTAAATTTTGTTTAATAATTTATTTTCAAAAATAACATAACAAAAACTATAGTTTAAACAATACATAACAAAAAACTAAAATACAATCATAACTCAAGTTCACAGTGTAGCCCCCCACCCTAAGTATCAACTTCTTTTGTTTTTAATTGTGTACCCATATCTCTCCAGAATTATGATTCTTGTGTCGGGGTATAACTCTTATGTTTACAAAATACGTGTATTAAAAAAAGATCCAAATTTAATTAAAACAGTTTTCTTTCAATATTCCTTTTTAACTTTCAATTCACAGGTTAATTTATCATTAATGGCCAAGTTCCACATTTCATTGTACCAATCCGCCATATTAAACTGGTCATTATTCTTCCAATTCCTTGCAAATATCCATCTTGCCACTGTTAACATAATATTAATTAATATAATTTCCTCCCCTTTAATTAAATATTTCCAGACATACTTAGCAAGGCTAATATTGGACATCTTTGTATATCAGTACCTATTTCATTAATAAGTTCCCCTTTCTTTCTTACATCACCACCATATATTATATTCATTATATTCATTTTTGTTAGTGTTAAATATTACTTGTAACAATTTTTACCCTAACAGACACATTTTTCATTATTCTATTTTCCCATATCTTCCTCCATATTTCCTTGCTGATTTATCTGTTTATTTTTCCATGCCATATCTCTTTTGGGGCTATTATTTTATATAGATCCTCTACTAACATATATATTACACTTATTATCCCTTTCCTTAGCTTATTATTCCTTGAGCCTTGTGGCGCAGTGGTTAAACCGCTGTACTGCAGCCAGAACTGTGCTCACGACCTGGGGTTCAAATCCCAGGTAGCCGGCTCAAGGTTGACTCAGCCTTCTATCCTTCCGAGGTCGGTAAAATGAGTACCCAGCTCGCTGGGGGGGCAATGTGTAGCCTGCATAATTAAATTGTAAACCGCCCAGAGAGTGCTTGAAGCGCTATGGGGGCGGTATATAAGCAGCACGCTTTGCTTTATTGGTTTCCATCTTCTCGCTTTTTTCAATAATTTACTCAAATTTAGTCATCACTCTACATTCCATTTTTCCATTCCTTTGTCCAGTTATCTAACTGCCTTACATTCAACCAGATAATTATTTCTTCTAGCAATTATTTCAGTATTCTTTTAATACTATACATCTTTCTTATCTGATCTTTAATTTCTTATCCAGTGTTTAATTAATTGGTATTTTCTATAAAAACCCGAAAAACCCACAACAACCACTTGTTTATTCTCTTAAGAGTTTTTTTGGAAAGTTATCTAATTCCACCACATGAGTCAATGAAAAAACCTTTGGATTCAGTATTCTTCTAAATTTCTTCCAGCATGGTAAATGTTAAAGTTCATGACAGTACAATTAGAAATACACTGAACAAGTGTGGTTTGTTTGGAAGAGTTGCCAGGAAAAAAACTTTTCTCTAAAAAAACATGGCAGCATGGCTTGGATTTGCAAAGTTACATCTGGACAAACCACAAGATTCCTGGAACAACATTCTTTGGACAGATGAGATCAAAGTGAAGATGTATGGCTGTAATGCACAGTGTCATGTCTGGCAAAAACTAAAAACATATCAGCACAAAAATCTCATACCATCTGTCAAGCACACGAGTGGAGGAGTGATTTCGACTTGTTTTCCAGCCGCACAACCTGGGCACCTTCCAGTCATTCAGTCAATCATGGACTCCTCTGTACACCAAAGTATTCTAGAGTGAAATGTGAGGCCATCTCTCTGACAAGTAAAGCTTGGCCAAAATTGGGTCATTCAACAGGACAATACCAAGCACTGCAACAGAATGGCTGAAAGGAAAAGAAAGTGTTGCAGACCTCAACCTGACCGAAATGCTGTGATGGAAATCTGTGCATAAACAAATACCGGCAAACCTCAATGTACTGAAGCAACATAAAGACAAAATTCCTCCACAACAATGTGGGAGATTGATAAAATCATATAGAAAACAATTACTTCAAGTTATTACTGCTAAAGATGGTGCTACAAGCTATTGAACCATTTTGGCTTTTTTTTTGTAAAATATATCATGACAGTGTAATCTGTCATGTGGTGTTTTTCATCTGAGGTTGTATTTACCTAATTTTCAGATTTGCTAAGGACCAGATAGTTTTTATTACGTCCTAATACAGTGGTGCCTCGCATTACGATGTTAATTCGTTCCAGCGAAATCGTTGTAGAACAAAAACATTGTAAAGCGAAATTAAAAAGCTCATAGAAACACATTAAAACCTGTTTAATCCGTTCTGATGGGCTTAAAACTCACCGTCCAGCAAAGATCCTCCATAGGGCGGCCATTTTCGCTGCCTGTCTTGCGAGGAATCCGTCCCTAAAAACAGTGGGGAGCTATTTTATTTACCCGGTGGCCATTTTGAAACCGCCGAACAGCTGTAGGAAAATCGTCGTTTTGCGAAGAATCGGTTCCCGAAGCAGGGAACCGATCATCGCAAAGCAAAATTCCCCCATAAGAAACATCGTTTTGCGATCACAAGCAATTGCAAAAAGTTCATCGTAATGCAATTTCGTCGTTAAACGAAGCAATCGTAATGCGAGGCACCACTGTATGTAAAACCATATAATTCAAAGAGTGTACTTTCTTTTCCACATGATTGTACATTGCTTCTGTGTTCTACATACATAAAGTGAAATACAAAAGTACTGTATTTTTCGCTCCATAAGACACACCTTTCCATAAGACGCACCAATTTTTTAGGAGAAGAAAACAGGAAAATATAATCTGTTTTCTTCGCTCCATAAGACGCACAGACTTTCCACCCCCGTTTTGTGGGGGGAAAGTGCGTCTTACGGTGCGAAAAATACGGTAATTTTTGAGTAGTCACAGGCATCTTACTTTAAAAAAACAATTCGTATAACCATGAGAAAATGCTGTAGATACAAAATCAAAATTCTTTAAACTATGAAACTTGCAAAAACTAAATAAATCTTAAGTTGCAGGCAAAAGCAGATAAAACATTTATTCTGAAAGCAAAAAAATCTAAAAATCTATAAAATTTATAATTCTGTTCTGCTGTCTCTTTTGCCTGTTTCTTGGCTCTCCCCCACCCACTAGCCTTTGATAGGAATAGGATGTTTTCAGTCCCACAGCCTTTGTTGATATAGTTTCACCTAACTTGCATATTACATTAGTAGCAAGACCAGTACAAAATCCCATTGACTACATTACATGAGCAGAAAATGGTTGATAAGAAAAATGTAAACAATCTGCTTCTTTTGCTAAACTTGCAAAATGAATGGGTTTTGTTATAGGGTTTGCTAAAATAGAAAGCTCCATTCAGTAAAAATGTGGTCTGCTAAAAGGCTACAAAACCAGTAGCCTTTTGCATTATTTTGCCACTCTAGCAAAATGAGCTGTTTGTCCTAAAGTAACCTCTAGCATTGCTGTTCAGGCTTCCATTTTATGATCACATCTCACATTTCCAGGGTTACATTTCTTCTTCTTGATGGTCTCTATGAATGCTTCGTAAATCATATCTGTTGTTCAGCAATCGAGCCTAGCAGTACCATTTTGTAAAGGAAATTAGGCCAGATTAGGCAAATTTCTACCTGGATTCCTTTGCCAAAAAGGAATTCTGTTGGATATGGAGTGGAATAATGCAAACATAGAAAAGGATTAGAAGATATAATAGATGGGATTACTCACATTGCTCCTCAGGAATTGTTTTGGAAGCCTTTATATATTTATTTGTTTATTTGTTTGTTTGTTTATTTA